CGTTTCTGTGTGTGTGAGACACTTTCTATTGTCTGAGAAATACTTGATGTTTCGACATTCGACTCTACCTACATCTTCAGGTAGAGTGGTTGTTAATTTCGACAAATGTTTTTCTAGTTAGTTAGTTAGTTAGTTAGCGACGATTGGGACATTATTTATTAAAATTTGTAGCGACGATTGGGACCGAATCCAGGACTTTTCTGAAGAAAAAACAGCCTAATTCATTAACGCATATCATTAAGAGATTCCAGACAACAAATATCCAAGAACGTTATAAATGACTGAGCCATTATCACAAATCGATAGAAAATTAGTACACTTTTAAAGAAGAACATCACATTCTGGGATTTTACACCACATAGTCTGGTGAAAGTTCGCCGACATTTCAGAGGTAGTTACTGCCCTATCAAAATTAATTAAATGAACTTATGATGAAGGGATGTCTACAGTCGTCCGCATGTTTAATGTCAGAGTCATTGAACAGATTACGACAAAATATAGTACTGATAAAATAAGATGATGATGGAGGCAGCTATGATCTTAGGAACGTTGGTAAACTGCTACACAGCACAACAGTCATCTTCATAATCTCAGCGGTGAGAACTTCAAAATTCACGGAATTAATTTTGGTTTGTATTCTCCAAATCTTACTATGCATAACGCTAAACGTGAAACAATCAATTTCTCACAAACGGATTATTCTTAAAAACGTGTTTCAAAAAAACATAATTCCAAATCTACAATGTTATTTGAGAAACTGTAAGACGTGTATGGCGAGTATGTGATATATGGTACATGGAAACGGATTTGCGCATTGCGATAAGATTTTGAACAGAACATTCGCATACGAAATAAACATCAAGGACACTGGAGGTATGAAAAATCGCGAAGAACGTATTTGAAAACTGTACTTTATTGGAGCTCCCCTACGCAAATATTTTTCGTGTCATCTCAAACAGATGACGATGGTTTCGACCTGCAAGCTTCATGAGCGTTTCCATACAGACTGTCAGGAATTTTCAGAATTGACGGTTCTGCGTCGTGCCTTAATTCTCATATCCTTCGGACGGATACAGAAATAGCTCTGAAGGTGTCAGGTGTGAGCCGGAGAGGGAGGACAGGGAATGAGAATAAGGTCGTACAAACTCCTAACAAAAACCTCTCGCTGTTTGGTTATAAGGTACACACAAAATCCTGCTCTGCAGACCAGCTTTATTGAACAATGGAGGGTTTAGGACCCTTGCTAGCCTTCTTTCTTATTTTACTTATGCATGGTCGGCTGCTGGCTGTGAAGGTGTGATCCTATCCCCTCCTTCTGCCATAAAGTTCAAAGATTTCCTTTGAAATCACATTTCTTATGTGGTTCTTGTGATGGAATACCATTTAGATGGGCTGCATTGTATACCAGTTGGCCTGGTGGTTACTATGCTCATAGCAGGGGTCCAACATCTCTCAGACACCTCCTCCCTCTCGCCACCTACCCGCGCCAACAAATGTAAGACCTTCTTTTCTTCTTCCTTAGCAGTCGACCCTCATCATAGTCTTGACCCCCGAAACCCTAAGCTTTAACCCACGAAGGAAGGAAGGATTTTTTCCCCTCCCAAGCCCAGTCTTTGTTTTCTTTCTTATTTCAAAGCTGCTTCGCTCTCTTCCCGGGTCGACATAGGAACTGAGCTCAAAGCTTGTAGGAAAGTTTTCCCCGTCTGGTACACGAACAGCAAGTGTCTTGTTTATTTGTTGTTATTTCAGTATGCCATATCAGATATTAAAGTTATACGTAGTTCAGTACGTATGTTTGGATGATTTCCGGTGCATCGGATTCATCTGGCTCAGAATAGGGACGGGCGGCTCTTGTAAACACGGTAATGAACATTCGGGTTTCATAATAGACGGGAAATTCCTTGGCCAGCTGAGCAACTAGTAGCTTTTCAAGACGGGCTGTTCCAAGTAAAGACAATACGTATTCCCGCGTGTTCAAGCAGCTATTAATTCGTATGGTGAGCGTTGTGGTATAATCATATAATCCTATACGTCTGCGGTGGTAGATGAAACTGAGAGCAAATCTTCACGCTGCGGCCCGCTTTACCCTCTTAGAATGATCTCCCAGTACCCACTGCATAGTGCTATGCATAAGCCTCGTAACGAATCTGAAAATTGTGAAAAGAACGTTTTGTACCGGGAACCAAACCCTGGTCTCCAGAACGTACGTAGGCTGTGACCGACGGTATATCTAAATGAGGTTAACCTAATTGGTGCTCCGTGAGAACCTCAGATCTCACATCGTATGTTCTGAATAGTGATTCATCTTTGTTCTAGGCAAGTGATAGGAAATCAGCCCACTTCAAAACAGGTCGCTCACTGCATCTCCCCCATATTTTTCCCAATTCCTAATCACCCATTGTGTTTCATTTGACGCCACACCATCCTTAGAGTTTATACAGCATCCGTAAATAACCTTGTACGACGTTATATTTATAGAAAAATTGCATTGTTCTCTTTGGGAAACTGATCAATAAACCGAGAGACTGCGTATCCATTAAATTCCTAAATCCCAATTCAAAACACGTAACAACAAACTTCTACGTGGTAATTATGTCGGGTAATGTAAATTGTCTGAGATATATTTAACCCTTTGAATCCGAAGCTCGTCTGAATAATATTTAGGAAGAATTCAGTCCGTACCGCAAAGAAAACACAGCACTTCACCATTACAAAGATAAACTTGTTAATGCTGCTTAAAGAAATAATCCCTGTTTAGAGCGAGAATGATACAAAGCGCATAAATACAAAACGAATAGTTCTAATTGACGAAGCAGGTGTGATATACAATTATCATTGGGCTTTAATCCTTTGGAGTCAGATGGTAACTATGTGTACCAGCTGTTTTAATAATCAACAAACTGGACTCTGTACTGATGGGTACCGTATGAATCTCAATAAACAGGAACAGCATTAACAAACTGATGGTTAAATTACAAATACGAGTAAATGAGAATTGCGTAGTTAATTTGATCATTTATTTTTCTTTATTATCACTGGAGAACAAAAAATGTGTCTTCAAGGTAGCGCGATTTGAACTGTAAACAAGTATATTATATAAACTTTTAGGTTAACAAATTGTCATAAATTTCTTACATGTGACAGCGATTTTGGAATTATTGTTTTAAGAATCTGCAGGAAGCGGTCCCCGAAGTTCACTGTGGTGTTCATAAGGACCCGTCAAAGGCGAAGCCCGATGCCCTGTAGAACATTTTGTAACTTTCTAAAAAAAATTACGTAGATGTGATGTTAGCCCTCCACCCAGGCCCCACGCGGGTGTACCACCCCCTGTCGGCTGTCCGCTAGAGCTTAATAGCTATATTGGCAGCTGCACCCTACATCTGGGAGGGCGTCTCCACTATCTGCAAGCTGAGGAGGACGAGACTTGCTGAGCTGACACGGAATCCACTTAGCACGGTATTAAAAGATATCTAGCAACCAGAGACGTTTTAGATAAAAATACAGTGTACAATTTCTGATGTGTAATTCCCTAGCAGTTTGTTGAACCCCAGTCTTTGATGTTCTCCGCAGCTACCCGTGTTCATCACCTGAGCACAACTCTTCCAGACTAGCTCGAGAAAAGTGTGGCCAATTTCTCAACGCCGAGGAGGAGTAGATTCTCATTTCTTTTCGTCTCATCATCTACCACTGCGTCTTCTCACTCTTTTCCTGTGTTCTCTCTTTGCTGGACCAATACACGTTAGCTCCCTCGCGCTACTCCTTACACGAGATTCTGTCCCGAGGCATTGAGAACTGGTTCGGGACCGCGTTCCAAACTGTGGACGTACGTGCGTGCCAAACTACACATACACACAGCGCGTCAGCGTTTCGAGACCTTGCTCTGACCCGTGCAGACGACAATGCAACAGACGAACAGTTGGGATTCGATCCCCACCAAAGGCAGAAATATCTAGCCCGACTCGAGGTCCACCCCCGACGAGTACCGGGAGAACTAAGATGGCTGCTCTAAGGGTTGTTGCGCAGTGTAACAAACTAGATGGCTTAGAGGACCCTTCATTAAGTGTCTGCGCTTATGTGAAATCTAGAATATTTACATTACCAGCCTAATCGTTTTGAATTCGAAGACATCCGGGTTTTTTTATCTTAAAAAAAGATCCGAACCCCATTTCAGATGTTCCAGTCGTTTCATGGCGCCGAATCTGTGTTTCGATTAAATCGCAATTCAATGATAATTCGGTTCAAAACTTAAAATTTGTATCAACAACTAGGTCTATATATTACCGCACTGTTAATGGTTTTACCGCGATTACACCCAGACTTCATATTTACCAGCTTCTAGTACAGAAGGCCTATACTGACTTCCATGAAGACAAAATGGTGGCATGATTAAAACTATCGATAATATTTACATCATAGAACCGGTGATATATTATTTTGCTGGTCATCAACAATTAGAATTTCTTAAAATTTTCAACTGATGTGTGGGACGGAACCAAACTGTTTTCAGTGCCACTTCGTTCACAAGCAGATAAAGTAACGAATAGATTAAGTTCCTACTGCTTGTAATCTTCATTAAATTAAATAAGCTAGAACGGAACTCAATTATGCATATGTTATAATCAGTCAGTTCTTAAACTACCGATTTATCAGAGACAATAAACATAATACTGCCTCATCACTTGCGCAGTAAGTAATCTGGTCACAGAAGTGCTCTGATTGGTGGAAATTTCCATCTTGTGCCTTATCTATAAACCGGTCTGGGGTCTGAGGAAATTGCAATTACCTCAGTCAACGCAAATCGATAAGTATTTCCCGTTAGCACGATTCATTCACAATAGACGCATTGGTTGGAAAGGAACGACATTTGAACTTAACCACACCAAACAGAAAAGAAAGGCAAACCCTTGGGATGAGGATGTAGAGAGAGAGACAGAAAGAGAGGGAGAATGCTGGCCGCTAAGAAAGAGACAGAAGGTTGTGCCTAGCCAGCAAATCTATAGTCTTCTCGGAACAGCCAGCCAGAGTGCGAGTTTCCAAACCAGTGTCTGCTGCTGCTCCTGCAGCTGGGTAGACGTCTATTCTAAACGAATCCTCAAACTGTTTTGTGATACCACAGCGTAGAAGGCAGTGTTATAAGACACGTTGAGTGCAGTCGTTCATGGCAGTACCTGTTGATTGGTGTTACCATTGATTTGTGGGATCAGTTTTTGTGTAAAAGGGAAAACATTTTACACAAAGCGAGATGGAATTAGTGATGGAGGAATGTTTATTTGCGATTATGTAGTTACATCTGTATACTTCTCTCGCATATGCATGATACTCTCCGACGAACATATTACAGATTTATCCGAATCAACGTTATCTTCGCGACGAGGAAGGCATGGCTTTCACACTGTAAATACTGTGCTGCAATACTGTAAGACGGAGTGTCCTGATATGTAGTGAGTTACGACTTGGAGTGAGAAGTGTCAACTGTGATCTTGGTTATTCGAGATAACTGTGCTGATAAACTCGAAGACGAAACGAACTCTGTAGTCGAGCTGAAGAAATATCAGTACCCTTGCTGCAACCTGTGACCGATCTCACGTAAGTTGGTCAGAGATACAAGTAGATTTCGTAATCAATAATATATGTGCATGCTGTGCAAATTGTGAATTCCTTGAGGGTCATTGTTACTTTTTGTGTTGTATTTATTTCGCAACCGAAAGCAGACCATTGTTTCAGATTAGATTAAAAAGGAATACATCAGAGCCGATTGTTCAGGAAAACGTGTCAGCCTATGTTCGTAACAATAGGATTTGAAATATCAGATACACGATCATAATTAGTTTAATTCTTTTTCCGAAGCAGATTTGCAATGTGAGTAGCCTATTTCAGTATACCTGTGTTTTTTCCGCGGGCATGAAGTGTTGTTTATGTCTTACGTAAGAAAACTGGGTGCTTAATAATTACCTCAGTACGTCTGTTGTTCATGCCTTAACCAGTCTATACTTGACAATTACTTGCCTGACTTTCTCAGTAAAAGTTATCGAAATTTGGTCAAAAGTATTCATTAACTTATTTGTGTATGGAGTTTACGTGCTCAGGAATATCCTACTCTGTCGGGGAATATAAGTTACATTTTTGACATCATCCAAGTACAAGACCATTTCATACGAACAGCATATCTGTAATTAATCTGTGAATCAATGGAATAAAACATATAATATTTGGTAACAGATGTGCCTTCCCCCCCATCCGAATCTCAAAGTTTACGCTGTTCCATTATCTGTCTACGCATGTGTAGCGTGTTGCTATGTATCGCCATGCACATTTTCTTAGCATTACGATAAGGACTTAATAGGAATTCAGGTGGGCATATATTAAACAGAATATTATAGGCTTGCTTCAGAACACTGGGTCGTGGTCCAGTTACATACAGTGGCAGCATGCATGCATGGTAACTTAGTAAACACTAATATCCAAAATATATTTTACAGCGTTATAAGGAACACGATGAAAAGGAATAATATCGTAGTATTAGAACCATTCAAGTGACACAATATTATTGAAACAGCCTTCAGGGGGGCTGAAACTCTGCCTCAGTTAAAACATGGTGAAGGCCATAGTGAAGGTTAGGCTTGTAATTATTGTAAATGAAGATCGTACTGAATTTCAAAATTATTCGTTCCTGATGCACACCCCGTTATACGAACTGGTTTTAGAAATGCTGCATCGCTTCCGTGTGTTTGAGATGCATATGAACTTTTATAGTGAATGCGAAATGTGTTATGTAGATTCGAAGTAAAGTAATGTAAATATCTGAGCTGCCTTTCATTTCTGAAATGACGAGTGAGTCAGAAGGAATCTGATATTAGTAGCAGACATCTTAAGTTCTCGTGGCGGTGAAGGGCCCGCTCTGCGTTGTAACGCCGTCAAATGTCCGTAGATGGAAGCGGTATGTTCTTCCGAAATGTTAGTATCTACCAACATGTTTACACGGCGTTACGACCCACAATTCCTACGTTCACATTTTTAGTTTCACTATACGAAAGTCATTTATTCTACTGACTTATTTATATCATCGTAGAGATGATCGTCTTCTCGTCTCGCGCTGTGTAATGTCGTAGAAATTAACTCACATTTCAGAGACGCTATCTCCCTGATGGTGAGGGAACGTCTCTGAAACGTCGCTCAATTTCTGTGAGACTACACCTAGCAAAATATCATAAGGAGGTTGTCTTCGTACTGGCCCCTGTGAGGAGAACCTGGAATATCACATATATCTTCCTGTGCACTGAATCTTTGTTGTACATTCGGTAGATCTCCTTGGATGGGGAGCAGACCATCGCAAGGTCTTCGCTACGCAGGGTCCAGAACAACATCAAAATCTTCACTGCTCACATTAGCACAGACTGGGGTGGGGTAAACCAGCCGATAACTCGGCCAAGATTTGAACCGGATATTGCCGGAACATAAACTTCAAGTGAGCGTTGCTTCAACAGGAACATTGTCGAGTCATACCATAAACAGCCTTCCGCATTCGGCCTTGATTATAGGTTATTAGCCATTACCTACCGCACACCTGAAGGCACACGTATGTAGAGTTATTGGGACGTCTCTCATTGTTGCCAACTTGGGTGCGAAGCCACTGTATGATTTCTAAAATAATTTTTTATAGTAATGTAAGTGTAGGATTAAACTGAAACACGAAAACGTCCTCTTTGCTTTTCCTTCAAACAAACTTTCGACAGATGAGTATGAGGCAGAAGCAAAGGACAGGCAAGAGACTAACTAATTAACTAACTAACTAACTAGATATCAAATCTAAAATTTCTTGACAATGGTGAAGAGTCAATTGAATAAAAATTTTCTTGGATATTATCCATCGTCTAGTAAATATAAAACGTAAAACGACGTTTCGGAGATGGGACTCTATTTCCGTCTTCAGGTTCCTACAC